AGTAGGTTCTCTCTATTTTTTTCTTTATTATTTATTTATATTTTATTTTCTTGTATTTTATTTTTTTCCTTTGAAACTCCCAGACAATTCCTTACATACTTATACACTTTTCTTCAATATTTTGGAAAAGAAAATCAACATTTAAGCATTCACAAAATTGGCTGAACTCTCCCTTAGATAAGCACAAAAAGCTTAGGAGGTTATAAAGGAATGATTAGGGGGCTGGAGCACATGATTTATAAAGAGATGCTGAGGGAACTGGGATTGTTTAGTCTGCAGAAGAGAAGAATGGGGGGGGATTTGATAGCTGCTTTCAACTACCTGAAAGGGGGTTCCAAAGAAGATGGATCTAGACTGTTCTCAGTGGTAGCAGATGACACAAAAAGGAGTCATGGTCTCAAGTTGCAGTGGGGGAGATTTAGGTTGGATATTAGGAAAAACCTTTTCACTAGGAGGGTGGTGAAGCATTAGAATGGGTTACCTAGGGAGGTGGTGGAATCTCCTTCCTTAGAGGTTTTTAAGGTCAGGCTTAACAAAGCCCTGGCTGGGATGATTTAGTTGGGAATTGGTCCTGCTTTGAGCAGGGGTTTGGACAAGATGACCTCCTGAGGTCCCTTCCAACCCTCATATTCTATGATTCTGTGAATAGGCAGGCTAATGAATGTTCTTGCATTGAGGGAAGGCAAGGAAATGAAAATAAATATCTGTTTTCAGTTAAAAACATTCTTCTTAAGGACAATAGCAGCTGAGAAATCAAACAGAAGTGTTTGAGATATGACACAGGACAAATAACAAAGGATCTGACCTGGGTTGGGAGGGAGCTAGATATAATGTCTTGTCCTGAAAACAGACATTACCTAGATTTTTGTGCTGCATTCATCATTATGTAATCTCATAAGATTAATAGATAAAATCACATAGATAAAAAGATTGAAGAGGAAGGATGAAGAAAAATTGAAATATGAGAAAAAAGTAAAATATGTTCTTTTGGGGGGAAAAAAAACAGAATTATGACCATAAGTAAAATGAGATGGTCTATTCAGAGAGTTTAAGCTGAGCTCCCTTCTGCAACTGCACATCTTGGACTTAAACTTTCAATAGCAGTCACTGATTTTCAGTGTGTAATTAGAGACCTCTTGAGTCCAGGGCAACTGTATGTTCTGTTGATTTAATTTGGAGCTCTGTGTGCTCAGCAGCTTTGAAAATCACGCCCAAACTCTGTAACACTGGAGATGCAAAATCAATGGCAAATATAACAAAAAAAATAGGATCCCTAGGAAGTAAAAAAACACTTCTGAGTTGAGGGAGAATGGAGGCAGAAGACAAAGTTCAAGAAATAAAATATATGTTTTCCATTATATAGGTTTTTCTTCCCCCCACCCCTTCTCTCTTTCTTTCTTGTGGGTATTGCACAAGGCAGGTAGTAGGGTTGCCATGCCCCCTTTTCCTGGCCACACCCCTTGCACTGGGCCAGAAGGAGAAGGATAAAGGAGCATGTATAGTAGCTGTACAAATACAAAGATTCCCAGTCCAAGGTGAATCCAGTATGGCTCAGATACATTGTTTTATTATTTATTATTATTATTATTATTAGGTTTTCGTTGTTTGTGAAGTTTGCGTAGTCAGAGCAGCATGAACAAGCTGCTGTGTGGTTGAGCATCTGAAACAAGCATTTTTTTAATTAAAAGAGTTACTAAAACAGTAGTATGCAACATTTAAAACAGATATAATTATCTTCTCAAAATGATTTTCCTAATTAATAATACACACTATATCCTGAAAATAAATTACATCATGAAAAAATAAATACTATAGAAAACTTATGCTAGGCTCCTGCACACTCTCAAAGATAAAATGAAGAGAAGACGAGGCAAGGCATTAATGATGAAAGAAAAGAAGTACAAATATTCTAGGGTAACCAACCAACTTTCTGTGGGAGAAAACCATGTAAGAGAAAAACAGTTCTCTTATGGAGTTAAAAAGAAATCTGCTGGCTAATGAACTCTCCTTGGATTGAGGAAAGGGAATAAAATGAACAAATATCTCTTTTCACTTAAGAACGTTCTTCTGAAGGACAGTAGTAGCTGAGAAATCAAAGTGAACTTACCAAGTTCATTCCGGAATTTGTCTGCAAAAGAACAGTCACAGTTCAGAATCTTGCATTCCATAACCAGATAAAATCAAGGCCCTGTGTTCTCACAAAACTGGAGACCCAGCCCTCACCCCACTAACTCCTGTTTACAAATGTCCTTCTCTCACCATAGATTACCACAGCTACCTTACTGACAATGGTTTGAAACCTCAGTCTGTTAAACAACCTATAGTTCTACAAATAATTTGTGCTCAGTGTGAGTAAATATAAACTCCAAAATCAGAGTAAACCTACCATTTTCTTTCTCAAGCTTGTCTGAAAAACATAAAAGTAAAATTTACTTCAAAACAATACAAGTCTTTCAATATATATTGTAGTATCCCAATTTAATGTAATGGATAGATTCCCCGCTTGGCTTCACTTCCTTTTTGACATTTCTGAATAACAGGTGTGAGGTGTGAGTCCCAGATTGGGTTCATGTCCAATGTGTCAACTTTATTTGAGCTAGTACCTAAAAACAGCAAGGTGGCCGCAGCAGCCCAGGCAGTGGCTTGGGCTATATGCCGAGGTAAGTACTCAGAGGATCAGGTGGTATCGTACTTCAGTGCTAGCCCAAACTGATGCCTTTGCCACTGTGTCCACCCTGCTATTTTTAGTTTCAGCACAAAGCCTGCTTCTGTGTGAGTGAAGTTGTTCACAAACTTTTTTTTTTCTCCCTAAAGATCACCTATGGGCATGGTGTGTTTTAAGACAAAATAGGAACGCAAGGCAACTTTGCATTTAAACATCATAATAAGTTGTCACCGACTACAGAATACAGAGTTCAAAGGCAGAAATATTACAGGCCTGTTTCTCCAGGTCAGTTTGGGTAGAGACATAATAGAATGCTGACAATCCCCATATTCCAAGAGGCACTACACTACCTCCATCTGGTGCCATGCAAGCAAAGCACATGTGCAAACAGCCACTAGCTGGCTGACCATATGCCTGACTCAGCTTTTCTTCTCTCCTCTGCCCCCAGGACCACAAGTTCAGGTCTGGGCTGGACTGGGCAGCACAGTATGGGGAGGAGGTGACCAGCCCTCTGTGGAGAAAGAAGTGGTTCGGGACTATTTAGAAAAACTGGATGAGCACAAATCCATGGGGCCGGATGCGCTGCATCCGAGGGTGCTAAAGGAGTTAGCAAATGTGATTGCAGAGCCATTATCTTTGAGAACTCATGGCGATCGGGGAAGGTCCTGGATGACTGGAAAAAGGCTAATGTAGTGTCCATCTTTAAAAAAGTGAAGGAGTAGGATCCGGGGAATTACAGGCCGGTCAGCCTCACCTCAGTCCCTGGAAAAATCATGGAGCAGGTCCACAAGAAATCAATTATGAAACACTTAGAGGAGAGG